AAGCAAACAAAAAATAGGAGATATAGAAAGAATATTTGATAATTTTAAAAAAGACAAATGTTGTTTATAGTTTTTTATAAGTTCTGATATGACTTCTGGTGGTCTTCCGAACCCTTTTGAATCTGGAAAAAAAGCATAGAAATATTATTGTTCTAACTTAAAGAACATCAAGAGTATTTTGATATAATAATTGATAAAATACTGTATAAAGATAAGTAGCTTTCTCGTAATTTTTTAATGGATCAAAAAATACTCGCACGAACCAGTATTTTCGAACGGCTTTGATTGTTTAATGTTAATGCTTTCGAACCTTTAAACCATTTTTACTTGGAATAATAACAAGTGATTGTTTCCATATATCATAAAAGAATTGAATGGTTATTAGGATTGTTTATTCTTCTTCTACTCTATAAATGGAATTAGAATTTAAGCCTCATGATGAAGCTAGTTGTTTTTGATGAGTATATATGGTGTCTTAGATAAGCTTTTTAGTAATTAAACTTTAAACAATATGATTGCATGCAAGCATATTTATTGATTTTAATTTTAGAAATTTTTTTTTAAAAGAATTCAATATTGGGAGGAGATGAAATTAATTTATAAATGATGATGATAATGTGAATTGATAGATAATTGCGTGTCAGTTTTGACCCAAATTCTTCACCCTTTTTTTCATTAAAAGTCGGACAATCTTTAAAATCGTGATAAGCCACTTTAATTATTTGTGTAGATCGACATATACTTGCTGAAGTTCACTTAATAATAATAATAATAGTAATAATCGTTGTAGTAATTGGTTTTTTTCCTTTGTAATGATAATAATAGTAATAGTAATTTATTTTTTTTTACTAGCAATTCTATTTGAATAATAATTGTTAATAATTGTTTGCTTTATGAATTCAAGCATCTAAATTACATTGCATGTTTATTTGAATGAATCGAATAATTCCAATACTCAAATGAATAAAACAAATAAAACGAATAACGAATAAAAACGAATAACGAATAAAACGATAATGAATAAATGAATTAATATTGAGTTGTATTAACAAATAATTCGAATTAATAATAATAAGAATTTGTATTGCGAATAG